GATGCAGCTTGGCTTCACCCCGGAAATTTCCATTTCGTCAATAGTTGAATAAGCCTTCTCCATATTGCCTTCTTTGCAATAGCCACTCAAAATGGTATTAAACAAAACCTCAGTAGGAGTAAGCCCATTTTCCATCAACTTCTTCAAAATCTCTGCAGCCTTATTTGTCTTCCCTTTCTTGCACAAGCCATTCAACAAAACGCTACTCGTGTACTCATTCATATGTACCCCTTTCTTAACCGCTTCTTCATACAACACCAACAAAGAACTAACATCATCATGTCGTGAATGCCCATCGAAAAGTATACTATAAGTAAACCCATCAGGTACAAATCCATAACCCTTCATTTCCTCCACAACACAATTAGCCTCCTCCATCTTCCCCAACTTACAAAGCCCACTAAGCAACGTATTAAACGTCACAATATTCGGCTCCACATTATCATTCTTCATCTTTTCTCTCAACTTAAAAGCCTCTTCCAACTTCCCCGTTTTACAATACCCATCCATAAGAATATTATAAGTCACCTTACTTGGTGCGACTCTTCTCTCAAGCATTTCATCAAACAGTTTCTGCGCTTCCCCAACTCTCCTCTCTTTACACAACCCACCCATCACTACATTATACACAAACTCATTTAAACTCAACTTATCCTTTCTCATACAATTCAATAACTCCAAAGCTTTACCTAAATCCCCCAATTTCACAGCTGATTGAATAGCTTTACCATAACTAAACCTATCAACCCTTATACCCCAACTCACTACATCATCAAAAACTTCAAGGGTCACTTTGTAATGTCTCAAACTATTCAAAGATTCAAGAAACACATTAAAAGCTGATAAAGATGGAAACTTTTTGTCTTCCCTTATCATAAAGTAAAGTTCTTTAGCTTCATTGATGAGTTTTGACTCTGAATAAAGTGATAATAGCAAGTTCGAAAAAATGGGTTTTGTAGGGGAAGGTGAAAAAAGAGTATAGAGTTGTGAAACTGAGTTTTTGTGAATAAGGGTAGCCAAGATTGACTTTGCAGTTTCAGTACGATGTTGTTGTAGCAAAATTCGGAGTTTACGAAGTTGTTCTTCAAGATTTTGGGATGAGGAATTTGTGGGATTTTTCTCATTGGTTGTTGTTGTAGTAGTAGTGATTTGTTCTTGTTGGTGTAGAAATGGAGTTGAATTGAAGGATTTGAAGGAAGTAGCAGAAACTAGTTTTAAGGGACGAGGAATGGGGAAAAACTTACGCATAGTTCTGTGCTAAACAATGATCGTCGGCTGTCTGTAATTAGTAGACAGTTGAGGAAAGGCGAGTGACAAAAATAGCCACTTTTAGGACAGATATTTAAAGCATGGCATTTATAAAGTATTTAAAATTTAGTCACTTTTTCCGAAGTTTCAAAAGGGCTAAAGCTTAAATTCAAATTTCAGACCTTCGGGTTTGAAATTAAATCTAGCTAAAGAGGAGGAGAAGGAAAAGGAATAGTCTGAATTTTGTCAAAATTCAGCTAAACTTTAAATAATTTAAAAAAATAAAATATGTTAAGAATTGTACTTAAAATTTGAAATATCAAACCAAAATAATTTTTTTTTGGATATTTTAACTTTTGTATATTGATGTTTTAGTTCCGTATTAGTTTTTTTTTATAATTCACAAAAATATTGAGTACAAAATATATTACAAAATATACATAGATTATACAAAAATAATACTAGTGTTAATTTTGTTGTTTAAATCTATATTATATTAAAAGCACGAAGGCCCTTAGCAAAATGTCGTTCGCCTTTTTTACCCTTTAAAAATATATTTTACATTCGATACAATTGTAATTTAAGTTATTTTCCTTATATTTAGAAATTTGCAATCAATTAAATTTTGGGTATTCATAACTTCTTCCTTATTTAAAAAAGTAATTAACACCAAAAAAGGAAAAACGAAAGTTGGAATATGCGTCTATAGTTCTTTTAGGTTTAGAAATCTTTACCTTTGACATAGAATTATATAATATTAAAAGAGTGACGCAACAATTGGAAAATCAAAGTAGGAAACAAAATTTCATACATTTAGAATTCCATTAGTTTTAGCATACACGCGTTGCGCGTGTCCCTCGTGTTAATGAAAATAAAATTTTATAAATAAAATAAATAATATTCACAAATATGTTTATGTTATTATATAAAATTAAGAGTAGTTCTTCCTTAGGAGTTTGATCTAGTCTAATAGTTTTTCCTTCAGTTGTTTCTCTTGCTTGCTTTGTTGTACAAAAAAAGTTATAGGAGTAGTGTTTGATTGAAAGGTAAAAAAATCATTCAATTTTACTAACTTGAGTACGTACATTGCATGTATATTTCATGCTACTTATTAAAAAATTTATGTAAGATAGTTTACCAACAATTAA